AGTAAATGCTTAAATCATTATTTATTTGGTACAGGGTCTCACTACATAGTTCAGACTGGTAGTGATCCTCCGACGTCTCAGCTTCCTAGTGCTGGGATCATGTGCCCCCAAGCTGGGTTTCGGTGTGTGGGGTGGGGCTGGCTGACACGCATGGCATGTGGTTCCTGGAATCAAACTTGGGTCCCTGTGCTTGCCAGGCAGGCAGTTAGATCGCCAGCTATTTCCCCAGCCACTTTAGTAAAATTAAACATATATATTTTTTACCACTTTACTGTTCTCCATCTAGGCTAAATCCTACAAAGCTAGAGGAAAGTACCCCAGGGATGGGGATTGAAGCCAGGGCCTTCCCAGGGAGTTACATCCTCAGCCCTTTTTACCTTTTATTCTGAGGCTGTGTTTCAGTTGCTACATTGCCCAGGTGGGGCTTCAACTTGGGATCCTCCTGTGTCAGCTCCTCAGCGTGCAGGGAGACAGGTGTCAGGTATGCGTCACCATTCCTGGCTAAAAATCTTGCTCATGTGAACAGGTATAAAAAAGCCCATAATTTCATTGAGTTTTGTTTTTTTCTCCTTTCTTGTCTTTTTCTTTCCTTTTTTCGGGTACTGGGGAGTGACCTAGGGACTACTGAGCTACATCCTCAACCCTTCCCCATGTTTTCCCAGATTTTGAAAGAGGGTCTTAAGTTGCCCAGCTGCCTCCAAGCATGTGCTCGTCCTGCCTCAGCCACCCCAGTAGCTAAGATCACAGGTGTGCGCACCATGTCTTGTTGGCTCCTTGGTTTTTTGGTGTTTGTTTGTTTGTTTTGTATTTTAGGGAAGGGTCTACAGAGTGTTCAGGGTCTCACTACCAGATCAGACTCATAGTGATCTGCCTGTTTACAGCTTCCCAAGAGCTGGGATTACAAGCAGGTGCCGCCATACCCAGTTTCAATTGCTGTCTTAGTGTGCCCCCAGGGCGGGGCCAGCATGGGGATTGAACCCCTGGTCCCTGTGTCTGCTTGTAGGCGCTTTAATCCGCTGAGCCATTTGGCCAGCCCTTGGTTTTGTTTTTTGAGACAGGGTCTTGCTACATAGTTCACACTAGCTTTGAAGCAGCCCAGGGTAGCCTTGAACTCAAAATGATCTTCCTGCCTTAGCCTCCAGAGTGCTGGGATTACAGGCATGTGATACCACAGCCATCCATCCTCATTTTTAATAGCAAAAACAAAACAAAATAAACCCCAAAAAACTGGAAGCAACCAAGTACCCATTTGTAAAGAATGCATAATTAAATAGTGACATAGTCACATGATGAAAGGAATTAACCAGGGGCTGGAGAGATGGCTCAGTGGTCTAAAGCACCTACTTGGAACAAGCTTGGCAAAGCACAGGGACCGCGGTTCGATCCCCCAGCACC